GAGAGAGAGAGAGAGAGAGAGAGAGAGAGAGAGAGAGAGAGAGAGAGAGAGAGAGAGAGAGAGAGAGAGAGAGAGAAGGTATGGAGTTCAATGTGGGATGGGAGGATGGAGAGGAGAAGACAACGAGGGTGTTCATTCCTGAAGCAATGAAATTTTAATGACGGCAGACAACAAAGATAGGCCTGGAAGAAAGGTAAGAAGACCTAAATACAGCTGTATAAAAAAAAAGAAAAAAAGAAAAGAAAAGAAGAGAAGAGAAAAGAAAAGGGAAGAGGACTGAACAGAGCAGGAAGATAAGAATGGGACGGGAGACAAGACTGAGAGCATACTCCGACTAGAACCGCTGGGATGTTATTGAGGTCAGGTTCATCGAGATCTGGCCATAATTGGGGTCAGGTACACTTAAGAAAGTACTACTGTCGTGTGCGGTGCGTATGCACCTGAGACGGCCTTGGAAAAAGACAAGTACAGACTCTTGAAACGGTATTCACCAATTCGCAGTAGCTGATGCAGACCCCAGGGCTCAATCCCTACTTCCCACCTTACCTGTGTACAGTATCTGTGTCGGCCCTTAGAGTTGAAACCCCTGACCTGTGTACTTGTAACAGTGGTAGACTGTCGTAGGGTCCTGAGGTTGCAGGGGTTCGATCTGTAGACCTGTCGAGTAGGAGTCTTAGTCAGGTCTAGAAGTCGTAGCTGTAGCTTTCTCGAAGAGTCAAGGTCGTAGCTGCTACAGTACCGAAAGGCCAAGTCTACGGCCTTCCGGAAGGTCCGAGTAGTGGCCTTTCTGAGTTTCCCACTGCTAGGCTGAGGCAAGTGGGCAAGTGGCGAGGCAAGCGGTGGAGTCTACCCGTGCTGAGTCAGCAGTCCCAGTCCTAGTCCAGTCAAGCAAGTACCACGTGGGACTGTGTGCACTTCGGGCATGGGAAAGGGCCAGACCAACGAGCTGCAGAAGTATAAATCAAGAGGCAGCGCCCAGTCCTTCATTCATTCATTCCTGCGTGAGCCATGTGGAAGCGCTGCCACAGCGACTTGTGCAAGGAGGTCTGCAGTGAGCCCGAAGACGAAGTGGGCAGAGAGATGAAGCTTAGCCATAGCGATAGGGTAGAGGCGGCCATAGCTGCCATAGCTGTAGTTGGAGTTCAGTGTGTGTGTGTGCGTGAGTGTTCAGAGAACCGCGTGTGGGATATCCAGGGTGATCCGGTGTATGCGAACAGAGAGTTGTGTGGGCGCTATGTCGCCATAACCATCTGAAGTGAACTTGTATCTGAGTTGAGTTGGTTGCCATTTCTCTGAGTTCTGAGTGGGCGCTTGTCGCCAATTTGCTGCACACCTGTTTGCATGCATGAGAGTGTGAATGAAAGCTAGACTAAGTCTGATTTTCACTCCAAAGAGGCTTTCTTACCTCCTCTGTTGCGTTCACATTGTACATGAAGAGTCCGTAGTACAGATCAAAGCTGTCGCCCTGAGTATTGTCTACCTGCAAAATCGCAAGACAAACACCTGTGCTCATTAACACTGTGACATAGCCTGTCCGTGCAGAATAGCAAGGCAAAAGCTGCTGCTGCTCATTAGCACATAACCCCAGGGGCCATGCTATACTCTTGCCTCCATCGATCCAATTTTAACGAACGTCCTGAAGACCATATCGTTCATTCTCTCTCTCTCTCTCTCTCTCTCTCTCTTTTTTTTTTTTTTTTTTTTT